GGATATGTTAAGTGACCCGGATATTTAGCTTGTGTGCTCGGCCCTTCAGAGGTCTTGGGCCCTTTTGGTTAAACCGGTCCAGCAGAGCTTTAGCAGCATTATGTTTAACGTGGTCACCATCTTTGTTTAGCAAGTTTGTATGTTTACATTTTGCCATATGAGCTAGATGAAAAGTTGTGGGATCGCCCAAGTTTTGTATGAAATTTAGAGGTTCAATTCAATAGTTGTTGAGATATTTCAGTCTGGACTGAAGTGGTGGAGACACTAGCTTGGCTAAAAACAAAGATGATGAATATGTAAATAAGTGGATGAAGCTTATCATAAAATCTATCTAATTTGATTTGAGAGACACTTTGATGCGTTTTGCAAACATCCTTTCGCTTGTTAGGTTTGCGCTGATACGTGCATTTTTAATCTATTACTGCAATGGGGCCTTTGGAATAGAGGGACTAGCCAATAAGTGGGCTCAGTGCTGATAGATGTGGCTTATGATTGACAAGTACAGTATGTTTGAGAATAAAGGATCAGACTCATGAATGGCAGAGGATAGGTCAGACAGAGGTAAATCATTAGGAACCTGTGCATGCCGTTTATTTCTGACACAGATATTATTATTATTATTATAACGGTAGGCCTACATGGAATTCATTAGAGTAGTTTCTGTGCAGTAGAGAGCAGGGAAGTCCCCTGTGAACCAGGACAGGGAGGGGAGGCTGGCAGAGGAATGCTGTTGTATACAGCCTCTTGGAGCTGAACAAAACCAGGCATTCCTCATGGAGGTGTTTATGCTCTGCAGCCTGGTGTGGTCCATCCTCACTGTTATCTGTTAGTGTCAGCAGTATGCTCATCCAACAGAAATAAAACCTAATTTAGAAGAGAGTTGACGACATACTCCCAATTTTGGCAAAGCTTGAAGAAAGCATAAAGAATTAGTCGGTTACATTGAGAAAATTAGAATCAGAATCCTCGCCCATAAACATGCCATTGGAGAAATACATCAGAAATGTATATATATTTAAAAAAAATCTCCCCAAGCCATTTTTTTGCTTTGCAGCCTTTAGACTTATGTAACACGCATTCCAGGACAAGCTTTGGCTATTTTCTTTGATCAATCCAGCCAGAAAAACATGTCCTGACAAATGCTATTTCGGCTCAGTTTTCATTAAAAAGTCAGTGTTGCATATGCTTGTGTACGAATGAGTTACTGAAGGTTAGGTATCCCGTTTAAAACACTTAAAACATGATGGTACAGTTATGTGGGGTCAATGCATGAAGAGTACAGACTGGTAGAGGATGCAGCCTGATCGAGTCCATATCAGCTGGGAGACTTACACGGCTGTAAATCAGCCTCGGTTGCAACAGCAGGGCTACAAACATCCGAGGGACTGCTGTTAGCACTCGTCCAGAAGGACTCTGAGACAAACCGACTAATCTGTGTGTTCCGCCCTCAGACATGCACCCCAATATATATTTTTTCACATAGATTTGCTGTGTGTTTTTGTCTTTCCTCAGCATGTCTGTCTTTCTTTTCTCCACGCCGTCCTCTCTCTCCGTCCTCGTCTCAGCAGAGTGCATTCCAACAATTCCTCACTGTCAGTCCCTCTCATTCAGACCCATTCGTTAGATGCTGGTGACAGATCCCTGCTGAGACACGAAGGCCTTCAGCTGCTTTAACTCTGGCAAACTGATCAACGGTCGATCACTATAAAAGTCCCTCATCTAAGACGGATTATTACTCGGATCTGACTGTTCAGAGAGTATGTATTTTTTTTTATGTGTGCGTATGCTGTTGCTGAATGTGAATAAATCAGCCACGGGTCTTTCTTGAACCTGAATCTACCCCTGTTTCGTCTTTTGATCTGATTCAGTCACATTCCTCCCCCTGGGATTGGGGAAACCTGAGAGTCGGGGTGAGCGGTCATACTTGAGGCTCGAGGGGCCAGCTAATGACTTCCCATAAGTCCATTTGGTCTACATGATCCTCTGTTATCTCTGGGACACACGCGCCAGAGAGAGTCTATCCCCGCGACTAATCGAGGGTCAATTGTCTCCCCTCTCAACTCTGATGCGTGTGACAGCAGCCAGAAGTGCACCCCTGCACCCACATGTTGCACAAAAACCCATGGCGCTTTTGTGCAACACGAATACAGTACATTCATGTTTTTCCTCCAGAGAAGCCGACCGTGGGGGAGAGCGCCCAACTATGCGATTACTGCGTCAAATAAACCGCTGAAGCTTCTGTGCCAACGACGGAAAAAACGCATGAAATCAAACGGCATCTTTGTTCAACAGGAGATTAGTTCAGGGTGCTGTGACCCTCTCCGGATCTTCTGAAAAGCTCTTAAATATTTCAGCGAGTACTGTCATTTCTCACTCAATTGTTAGGCATAGAGAGCCCTCTGTCCTCCTGAAATTGGTTGTCAGCTCGGGACAGTGAGCGCACGCGCGCGTGTGTGTGTGCGTGCGTGTGAGCCAACATTTGAGGGAGTGTGATGTGTTCCACACAACAGTGCTTTAACATATGTGAATGCTTTTCATGTGCAATTTCAATGAGTCTGTGCGTATTTGGTGTGTGCATTTGGGTGCATGTGTGTGCACATACAAGAGTGTATTTGCATGCATGCATAAGAATGTTACTTTCCTAAGATACATGTGTTCACACACACTACTGAGCCTTAAAGTACTGGTGCATGTACAGTATTTCTAAGAATGTTTCTTGTTAAGTTGTCGCCTCTGTAGAACATGATGGATGGCCTTCTCTCTTTGCGGTTGTGGTGAGATGTTACAGTCGCAGGTGTGAGCGTTTGTGTGTGTGAGTGTGTGCCTATGAGACGAATGACGCTACTGGTTGGAAAATCCCTACCTCTAGTCAAGAACCTGCTCCTCCTCCACTTCCTCCTCGTCCTCCTCTTCCTCCTCGTATCTCCTTAGAAACCCAACCACACCACACACTCATGTGGTGGCATAATATAATATACGTTTTGAGGCGTACAGGGTCGTAAAACTGGCAACACTGATAGCATCGGTAAGAGGAAGAATATTAACAAAACTCCTTAGTTGTAGCTGTCTTTTTCAGAAGTTAAACTCAGCCCCTGGTATACATTATAATATCACGCCCATATTTCACTCACCAAGATCATGTCTACAGACTTCCATTAGTAAAAAAAAAGTAGATTAGTAAAAGAGAGTAAATGTTTTAAAAAGTATTTTGAGTTTCAAAAATTGGAAATATCTTTGGTACTTTAGACTGAGAGCGAAAGGCAAAATAAGCTATATTTTACATCTACATATACAAAAAGATTTGTTGTACAATTTGACCGTTTCACTTCACATCACCAGCGTTTCCTCAGCGCTGCATTACACCGGCATCCTAAGTCACAATTGTTACCCCATACTGCCAGCGGCCTTGGCCAAATGTGCAAATATGAAACGGAGTGTAAATATAGCTCCATAGCTCATGCTGTTTCCTCCATCCACTCTTGTTAGAAAAACAATGACATCCTATTATTCACCGGGCCATGATTGAACTGGAAGAAAAGACTTTTCACTGACCGTTGGGACATTGTTCGTAGCTACAGCACAGTGGTGTCTGAGGATCCGTCTCGAATGCCTTCAGTCAGAAACCATGCATGAATTTATTGAGCAGTTTTGTTCTATACTGCGCTTCACCTTTTCAAATGTTTGTGTCTGATGATAAAAAACGTTCTTGCTCTTTACCCCCCCGTCCTGTATCATTTCACGTCCACGAGGTTGGCAGGCTGATATACTATTTTTGGGGCCTGAGTCGGCTGAGTTTAAACGTGCAGTGTCACCGTCGGGCATTGTTTAAAAATGTTCCCTAAACACGGGTGACCGTCAAAGGTCAGGACTCTGAGAATAACCCCTGTGATATTTAGAAACACCTTTTGTTTCCCGATAGCCCAGCTCGCCGTGATGCTGAGGTAACAAGAGGAGTCAGTTGGCATGGCAACTATCCCCGTGACCTCTCCAGCAATAGTAGCTGCATAAAGGTCCGTTATGCAATAGGCTGAATTTAGGGTCATGGGTTATTCATAAGTGAGGACTCTGCTTTAAGCATATTTTGTATAAAGTCATTCATGAGTTAAAACAGTGGCTCATACATCTTTAACTTTGAAGTGAAAAGTCACATAAACACTAAAGGGTCGACATGGCAAAGTGTCTCACTGTTCATAAATGAGAAAATTGGACATGGAAGATTGTTTCTCGACAGTTATTTGAAGTTAACATTTACCCATTGTTGTTTTTAATCATTTGTCAATGTGTCATCTGTTATAAACTCTAGAATAAATTACAACATGGGGTTTGTGCACTCATAAACTGTGGAGGAAGTATTTAGATCCTTTACTTCAGCATGAGTAATAGTAGCACAATGGGGAAAGTATTCCTTTAAAAGTGCTGCACTCAAAATCTTACTGAAGTAAAACTACATAAATGTGCTTAAGATAGTATAAATAAAGTAGCTGGTCTGCAGACACATGACTGAGTGTTAAATTATCACATATTATTGGATTACTAATACATGTTAATTAACATGTAACAATTTTAGTTTGTCAAATTGGTGTTGTGGCTAGATTGAAATGTACCTAGCTATAGTGGAGTACATAAAGTAACATTAAGTGGAACATATTCAAGTTCACTACCTCAAACTATATCTATTGTACCTCATACAATGGCTGAAAAGACTACTGCAGTATTACTTTATCCACTGCTCAAATGCTCTGACAGTTGATATTTTTACACCCTCAGAGTTAATAATGCTAACATTTCAAACCAGATCATGTGGCAGAAACAGAATTCAGATCAACAGACGAACCTGGTCCGTTGGATCTGCATAACTGATTCACGACAGAGGAAACGTTGCTCAGAGGGGCAGCTGCGAGGCGGACGTTTGTGGACTGATGTCGCTTCTTTGTGCGCAGATTATCACCCATTCTTCAGGCAGGGGGCGGGAGAGAGACTCTTGGAAATGTGCTCTTCCCCTCACCACCACCACTGCGTAATCAGGCAGGTCCAGGGCTGACGGGCACCGAGCCACACGGGGCTTTGCTTAGTGATAAGACTCCTTGGAAGAAGAGGACCGCAAACCAGCGAGCTGACCTGCGACGTTATTTCAGACTTTTAGCGTGTGAGTTTTTTTTTTTAACACGTCACGGTTAAAGAGACCCTTGACAAGAGAAGTCAATTGGATATATTGTATTTTACAGAAAGCTGGACATTTTTGGAGTAATTTAAACTTTCCTCACTTTCTGAGTGTCCTGGATAGTTTTGTTTGTGACTCGGAAATGTCATGAGGTCTTTTGGTAACCTCTTGCGCTTTTAGCCGTAAAACGCGCACTTGTGCTCAAGGTGGACTAAAAAAGAGAAGACTGGACATCACGTTGAAGACAAAGCGCCTGAATTAAAACGTGGAGGTTTATCATTCATCCAGCCCATTGGAGATCCCTTTTTTTAAAGGTGCGTGCCGCTGACCGAGCACGAGCGCTTTCTTCTCCCTCCTCCTCGGATACCTCTACCGGAGAAACAAACAGTGGAGACAGACCGTCTACGCGCGCGCAGTTCCGCAGTGCGAGCCGCTGTCCCCCCGCGCGCAGTGCTGAGGAGAGAGGGACTCTCGCGCTTCCATAAATGCCCGGTCCGTCGAAGAGGCTCGAGGCTGGGCAGCAAGATGAGCTCGTGGGTACAGCTGCTGCTCGCGTTGCTGGCGGCGTGTCTGCGGTTTGGCGTAGCCGAGGTGAGTCTGCAGCTTTTCACAGTTTGACGGACTTTTGGAGATGCTATTAGTGTTCAAGTTCTTCTATCATACTATACCAATTATTATTATAACGTGAAGCACCATGTGAGTTTTATTGGAAATTGTTACACGAGCCATAAAAGCATGCTGGCAAATAACGACCTATATGGCCTACTGTTAAAACCCCTAACTTATGTGAGAGTGTTGCAACTATTCACAAGAATTATTTCAAAATTGACTGTATATGCTTGTTGATTTACATTTTATGTCATATAATTCTAATGTTGGCTATTTCATTATCCTTTGGAGCTAAATTTGAGTAAAATATGTCAAGCAGTGTTTTTCCTCATAAACACAAGACACAGACCAACATTACAACCAAATCCAGGAGTTTCTTTTTTTAAACTTTGGAGTTAGTGCACCTGCTCCAGTCTGGTCTTATTATAAAATACAGGCTTTCCCTTATTGCTTCTTTCGAGGGGTAAATAACTGTTATTCCTCCTATTATGGCTCTATGAATGGATGCCCAGGGCCCACTCACGCAGAGGTCGTCCTCCTGTGGGTGAGGAGCCTCGTTAGCCACGAGAAGGCTCTTTTACAGCTGGATGCCCCACATGGTGAAGGGATGCATTCATGGCTGCTGTTCCAGATGTTGAGTCCATAAATTAGTCAGTGAGCAGCATCACACTGTGACACGCTGCTGTAGAGGCCAGATGTTAGTTAGACAACCAGGAGTGAACACGGTTGCAGTGACACATTTCTTCTCTCTCTCTGACTTTCACACCCACAGCGGAATATATTTGGAGGCAAAATCAAGTGTTGAGGTGTGAAATATTTGTCATGTATAAACACATCGAAACAAATGCAGAACCCCATCACGTTTTCAGCTGACAATTATACTCAGTGTTGTTTTCCACTGCCAGTAATTTACTTCTGCACTGCTGCTCAGTTCTAATAAAAATCTGCTGTGTAGTATTTTCTTCAAGAAGGAACAGGCAATAGTGACATAAGGATAAATGGGCAACGTCTGACCGTCTGCTGAGGTCAAGCAGGAAGACAAAACTTAAGCGAGGGTCCTGTCGAGGTCAAGTGAGGCTTAACTGACATTATGGTAGTTCAAAAAAACATCTTTGCCCAAATGAATAGCTATAGAAGAAGGTTGAGATGCACATTGAATCAGATATAATATGTATTTCTGCCTCCGTTCAGATTCCATCTGTGTTTGTGAGCCAGGAAATTCATCTCGACCACTGAAACACCAGTGTCAGCCACTTGTAAAACTAAATGGGGTCAAAACACACACAGTTAACAAGTCAGTCATGGGAAGTGGATATTTAAACAAGTCAAACAAGAGGGCCCAACTGAGTTTGCCTTTCTTTCAATCCAGACAGAAGGAGGGGTTTGGTTTTGGATATTGCACCCAGGGCTGAGTAACTTCTGCAATTGTTGGAAACGATTAGCTTTCAATGAAAGTAAAAACAATATAAAAGAAGAGAAAATACAAGTAGGTCTTCCTGCAGAATGTGAACTGGCATCTTAAGTGCTTTCATTCCTCCTTTCATTCACTTAACCTATACAATTTGGTGTTTGCATGTAATCTACCATCACCCTGACTACTTCGCATACAAAGGTAGGTTAAGGGTGAAACACAACTATGATGGATGACTTTAAATTCCTGTCATCAACCCGTCTTTTCATTTTATGGCCTGTGAAGGCACCACATGTAAAAGAGAAGTCAAATGTGACAGGACATATGTTTTAGAGGGAGAAAGTTACAACGGCTTTGAGGTATACAGCCAGGAATTCCCCGTGTCTAATTTTAAAGTTATGGTATGGCAGCTGTGAAATGATGGAGTCTGTATGCAAAGTTCAATCACATAAAAAAGAGCATCATCGTGAGAGTCTTGAGAGTGAGTGATAATTTAAAAGTGTGCCTATGTATGAAGTGCATATTCATTCAACTGTGGACCACCAGAGAGGAATCCAGACATTTACTCTTAGCTAACACAAAATCGTCATTATCTTTAATTGCATCCGGCGCCTTTTCAACTCAGATTTAAATGCTGACAAAGGAATTAATTAAAGTCACGTTTATACACACATTCCAGTATTGTGCACGTGCAGGCGCCGTTTCAGTGACGACATGTGAAACCTCACACATGTGCCGCCGCTGCGCCGGCAGCAATCTCGACCCCCTAATTATGTAGGATTAGACGTTCCCTCTCCTCCCCTGGCCACTGCAGCTGCTGCCTGTACCTGGCATCCCTCAATTTGTCCAAGAGACCTTCAGGGGATGGGAGTTTGATTTCAGGTGATGCGTTGCCGGGTTATGTCGAAAATTAGTTTTCTGAACCATGTCAAATTGCAAAACGTATACAGGACAACCGGAATTCTCATGACAATAAAAGAGGAGCATTATGGTTCATTATGGTTATCAAGCTCTTGAAAGGGCACTAAACAAACAGGAATGACTTAACCTTATACGATCTAAGAAATAAACAAACATCTTAAATATCTTGAGTGTTTTTTATCGCATATCGTCACATTCTTAGTTTCTAAGAAGTGGTACTGCTGAACGTCTTCTGTGTTAGATTGACAGTAGGCCAACACTTGTCTGATAGCTGTCTCCTTCATAATGAATAGAGTTCTGGTGTTGCTCACTGATATCATCCCTTCATACTCATACTCATACTGAACTACAGGTCATATGAAATTCCCCTACAAGCAGCGTTTTTATTATCTTGCTATATTGAACGTATCATAATCCTCATCCCATAGTTGCACGTTGGAACATTATCGTCTGTGGTTTTTCAATCTGTTTACATCTGTTCTGTTTATTGGAACCAAAGTGTTTATTTAGTATTTCCTGCTCAGACACAAATCGTCATGACAGCAGGCACCACTGTTAACAAAGGCACACATCCTATAATTAACATCACACACAATTAGCCAAGCAGGCGGGTTCGCTACGTTTGGCAAAGGGAAGAAATCATCATCATTATGGCTCCTTAGGGGCATCGACAGATCTGCAGCAGAGATGCAAGTGTAATACAGCAGGCATTTCCCCCCCCCCCCCCCGCTGTATGATTTCACTGTGAAAAGCCAACCAACAATGGGGGACAGTCAATGGCGTATAGTACGGACAGGATGGGAATACATGTCCATGCATGGATGGCTGCTTCCTTTAGCTAAGACCTGCGTCTCCATAGGGATTCATTATACTCTCCAGAACCTGAATGGCAGTGCGCACATAGTTTACTGGACTAGACTTGCACTATAACATCAAACTGTATTTTAACCACGTTTTGCTCCCTTGAGATCATCGTCACTGCTTCCATCTCACCGTGTGATGACGAAGCAAATGAAGCACGTCCGCAGCATTCAAACCAATGTGAGGAAGTGTCCCGACCCATGTCTGATCCTTGTCCACGTTAACCCGTCTTTTATTCATCTATTATCCCTCTTTTTTTCAGATGCACCTCCCTTCTCTCCTCCTCTCCATATCACTCCTTCCCCCATTTCCTGACTCCTTCCTGGCTCCTTTGACCCCTAAATGTTAGCAGATGAGAAGACACAACGCCAATAGTCATTCACCCTGCTCTTAGTGACCATTGTGTGTCTGCTTTGGTTAATACCCCCTCACCCTCTCAGCTCTCTTGCCCAGTAATGACCGGGGGGGTTAAACCCACAGTCAGTCCATAGAATCACAATGTAGAGCTGTTGCTTGGTTTCTGGTGTGGTGGTATGGAAATATGTAATCAAATGCATGATGCTTACATATAAGGCTAGTGTTATCTTATCCTTTTGTTATTATCATCAAAGAAAAACTAAACCAGAAATGAATTCCTGTGGAGCAGAAACCTGATATTTTTTACATCCTTCATGCTATAAAACCCTATTGTCTTCCAAAAACTATTAACAACACATTAAAGAGACATCCGCTGCACAGAGTTTTCTATAAAAAGAACAAGTCAGCGAGGACAATGTTTAAAGGCCCAATCGGTCATTTTGGACATTTAAGATTTGAAGAGTAAAAGAAAAAGCATTTGTTTGTTTCCCTCAAACAGTCAGAATTCACTGATGTAAACAAACCCCACTGCCCCAGAGAGCATTAAAAACTAAATCTATATTAGTCTTTGTATTTAAAGACCTGTCAATTTGAGACCTATTGTGCCTCAGTCAAGCAGATACACACACATACTGAAACACTTTGTGAAGTGGATTGTTGCAGACGTGCTGCAGTGTTACTCCATTTCCTCAGAGAGAATTGTTTGGGAAACTCTGTAATGTCTAATGCAGGATGAATACAGGGTGGGAAAGTAGCTATTCTTATAGTCACGCTGGAAAGAATGTCCAAATGTTTTCGTGTCTTTTCCCATAGTCATGTTCTAAAACAGTCCAGAGTATCTTGTTTTTATGTTCTCTAATGTGAATTTGTAAATACTTGTGTGTTTCAGGGGGAGCCTCTGCCTGCAGCCCTGGTGGAGCTGGTTAGAAACAGCCCCATCTCCTCCATAGAGGACCTTCAGCTGCTGCTGCTCACTGACTCCGTAGGTAAAGACCAGCGCATTCCGATATCACTGTTGATAATACACTCAAATCAGACTCAGATTTTGGGGCTGTTATTATGGATCCTAACACTGTTACATTCTGTTCACATCTTATTTTAAACTTAATAACACTGGTGGGATTCTTAATTGTCTGTATTGTACAAGTACAATGTTGGGCAACATTGTTTAGAATGCAAAGACACTAAGGCAGAAAGTATCAGATATGTAGGCAACAATTTCATGAGAAACACATGCAGTGCATAGTGAGTTATCATTATGTATTATTACATAAAATGATATGTTTCTGTATGAGTGCATGAGAGCATTGCGCAGCCTTTGTGCTTACGAGTATCCTTTCAAAATAAAGTGCAAAATGCTTTGAAATCAAGCAAAGGCGGCACTCTAGATATACAACACATGAATAGTGATGATGAATGATGCACAGACAACAAAAATCAAAATACTCACTTATGTAACGATGTTTTCTCATAAATGCAGACTTTGTCATTTGTAGCTTGCGATGATAAAAACTTAATCAAGAGTTCACTAAATAATACATGCAAAGCAGTGATTAACTGAAAACTAACATAATAAGGGGCTACATTTCTACCCTGATTGTGATAAGTAAACATCACGATTGATAAAACCAACTCGGACAAACAAATGGAGTTATAACAAGGAGCAGAGAGGATACATGATCTTAGCAACACAGATGGAAATAAACAGAGTAAGAATTATAACAACAATGGCAACAATGACTTAGGTCTCTCTCTCTCTCTCTCTCTCTCTCTCTCTCTCTCTCTCTGCATGTGCATGATCTACAGCACACACACATTAGCTACCCCCACACCCTCTTTGTCTCTCCCTCCCCTGTCCACATGCAAAGACTGTTTCCTCTCTGTACATGCAGAGGGCGCTAGAGGGCCTTAGAATACAACATACACCACATGGCAAAAACGGACCATTCATAAATCAGTTGCCGTGTTTACGTAAGTCAAATGCTGTGTTTGTTTATTGTTCTGTCTCAGATGAGGAGGACGGGACTTCTGCAGCCAATGGAGTTCATAGACTACCAAGGAGCCTCGGTGAGCTAACCCCCCCCCGCTCCTTCCTTTCTATTCCCCCACAGTGTCATTTGAAAAACTGGTTTCTGGTTGTGATCAAGGTGTCAATTTTTTGTACATCACATAAGATGGAGACATCACTGCTATTGCTCTTCTTCGGCTCTCAAAAATGATTATTCTCATGGTACGGCTGACACTTTGTGAGGATACATCTGTGTGTATTCATATCTATTAATGGGTTAATAGAAGGTTGTAGTGCTGACACGGAGGATTCCTGATTTTCCTCATGAATGTAAAAGTACTCCATCCTCATTAGTGGAGGGCTGCGGGTGTTTTCAGTCTGCCTTCCTGTGAGTTGATTAATGTGACAAGTATGGCTTTAGTGACACGGTAAAATTCCTCGCATTAACCTTTTTTTTTTTCCGCTATCATAATAAAGCAGATGTCTGAATTACTCGACCCCAATTTACAACAGTCTGGGTGACTTTGTTAGATTCCCTCTAGCACGAGGAGATACTAATGGCCTTACATTAATCATCGTGTAAACTATGCCAAATATCTTCTTTATGTGGCCTTCTATGTTCAAACAGAACAGTCTCGTTGAACAGTGAACCTTTGTGGAATGAAATTCCCTTATGTTTCTCCGTAACTGACCAACACAATGCAATATTAACAATAAGTCTGATTAGAAGAAGCTGTGACATATCTACTCATTTGAAATGCATGAGTTTCATTTTCACCTGCTTTTATTCTGTTCAACAACAGCTAGAAATCAGTCATCCCATAAATACACATTCAAACAAGCTAGGTGAGTCACTACGGACGAATGAGTCCGCACAAAGGGATTAAAAGTAATTAGGCTGCTCATATTTGCCACAAGCTCAGCTCCTAGCAACTTGGGAGGGTTTAGATTTCTGGAGCAAATCATAAGGAGTCCCATGTGCATGTAGATGTTTTACTTATTGGTTCAACACACTCACATACAGGGAGGGGGTTTGCTAAAGTCAGTGTTTAGTTGTCTTAATAGTCAAATAGATTAAAATGAAAATTTTAACAACAGCGAATAATAATGCTAACACAAGTTCAAACAGTCATACTCACACTCATGGATGGATTACTGAACAGGCCTACGGGGCAGAGGCCCAGGGGCCAAGGGGTCAGGGGCCCCCTGAGTTTTGCCTGCAAAATGTCACAGAAAGAGACGCCAAATAACCACAAAGACACACAGAGCGATGACAAAGAGATGCAAGATGACCAAAAGACCAGCAAAACAACTATGAAGAGACACATTAGTGACCACATAAAGACACAAAATGACCACATCGAGACGGAAAACGGCCACAAAGAGATGCAGAATTGCCATAAAGAGAAGCAAAATACATTAAACAGATGCAAAATGATTTTGTCTCTGTGCTCAGGAGCCCATTGTTTCTTAATCCCTCCATGCTCAAACTCAGTCCATATCTCGTCCCGCAGATGCCCAGCCAGCTCAGCAGGCTCTATGCAAAGTTCGTACAGAGGTGGTTGAGGTCACCAGGGCGATGTTAGACCGCAGCAACGCTAACTTCCTGTTATGGCCGCCATGCGTCGAGGTGCAGCGCTGCTCTGGTTGCTGCAACACCAATAGCCTGCAGTGCGTCCCTGTCGTCACGCACACCAGATACTTGCAGGTAAATAACCAGAAACGCATAGAAACATACAGCACACAAAAGTCTAAAACACACACACATGTAAGGCTGAACTATGTTTGTGTTGTACTCAGAATTATCCACTGTTGCCAACCTCTGCAGGTAACGAAGATCGAGTACATCAACAAAAGACCCACTTACGCTAAAGCTGTGGTGTCAGTTGTCGATCATGTGGAGTGCCGATGTCAGCCGGCTCCACGGCCTCCTGTGCCCAAGAAAAAATCATCGCGCAGACAGCACAACCACCAGCATCGAAACCACACACTCAGCCAAGGACACGGACAGGTAAATTATGAATGCTATTTTGCATTGCTAATCTGCTGCTGGGTGAATGCTTTAGAAGTAATATTTGTGCATATGTAAATGTAGATATCCAACACATGTCCAACACATACCAGAAGAGCTTAGTTTATATGGTTTGCATGGCTTTATTGTTGTTTAATGTAGTAATAATCCAAAGGGTTGATTTTAATGTATATATTTGATTTATATTTTACCATTAGATAATAACTATATTGAAAAATCATAAAAATGTCTAGAACACATACTTTATATTTTCTATCTACTCTTTGTGTGACTGATACACTGAATGTGTAGGATTAATGAACTGAACTGAGATTTAGCTGAATTGTATATTGTTTTGTTTTATTGTGAAAGGTCAAGGTGCACTCCAAGGATGAACTCCATCAGTGGGATGATCTGAAGCAGAACCAGAGGGCCAACCTGGAGGACCTCCTGGAGCAGCACTGGATCCCCAGAGGAGACACCTTCACTCAGCCCGAAGAAGGGTACAGCCTGGCTGGGAAAGACACATCTCGCACCGGAGAGGCTGTTCTTTTTGCTCCACATTGGGCGCATAATGCCACCAGGCTCCTTGGGACTAAAGACCAAACTGAAAATCTGGAGGATGTGGAGAAGAAAAATGGAAGGATCTCAGATGGCAACAAGACTGTTTCCTCAGTGGATAATGTTGGCGTGGAGGTAAAGAACGAGTTGGTAGAAGGTGGGGAGGGGTTGCTGCTCCTCAGCACTGAAGGGAAGGTTAACGAGGGAAACGGTAGCAGGGACGAAGGCACGCAAACACACAGTCCATTATGGCAAGACGACAAATCCAAACTTTCAAAGAGCCACACGAGTGGATCTTCTCACCCTGGTGATCAGAATCCTGAAGCCAAGTTCAGTCCTACTGAGGCGCCCAGTGAGAGAGTTGGGAGCAGGTTAAGAGCGACTAAAGAGCCAAATCCGGAGCCTCGAGAACAGGCGAGACGGAGAGACAATGACACTCCTGAGGAGGTGAGGATATTACAGATTGAGGAGGAAAAACTGGAGCAGGAGAGAAAAGAGCTTCTACTTCTCCACAAGAGGCTGGACCAAGAGAAGGAGATACTGAGACAGCAGCAGATGAAACGAGAAGAGGAGGAAAGGCAGAAAGAAAAGGAAACGGATAGCCAACATCGCCTGCATGGTAAACATCATCATCATCTGCAAACAACAACACAGTATCCAGGTACGACACATTATTTAATACTTTGGGTTAATAGAAATAACACAAATAAGAATACTAGCATTTAGATACATGTCAGTAAATGATGTGCTAAAAGAAAAACAAGTGTTGTTTTCTCGGTTGTTCCATTGTACATTTTAAACAAGTATTTTCACAATAACAAGCAAGAAAAAAAGCAATATATTTTTGGTAATATTAATAACATGTAAATCCTATTTTAACAGCGACAACATCTACGACTACCACACGGCAGCCATCGGCTCCAGCAGGCCCCAGACCCCCAGCCCGTCCAAGGAAAAGGATGAGGAAGAATCGCAAACGAATCAGCAAGGCAGCTATGAGAGCAATGCTAATGTAAAGCTAAAATAAAGCCAAGTGAGTTTACCGAATATTTAAATAATAAAGAAAAACATACTGAAATCATTTATGAACCATTTAAATTGCAATGACTGAGTGTAATATTTCTATTTTCTGATTATGAAGTTTAAAGTACGTCTTCCTATGTTTCCCCCCCAGGACACCAAGTGAACTTAGTATTTCGTGGATCCAGAGGTGAAGCAGAGTGACTCCCTTCATATAAGTACTTATTCACTCCGTAACACTACTAATGACTGTCTGGTGAACCTGTAACTACACCTGTGTGGAGTAAGACGAGGGTAAGAAGAAAATGGAATATAAATAAAAGGTGGACCTTGTCAAGAAAACTTGCTTGCCTCGACAACGACAGTTGCTGGTATGAACGCTTACAAATTGTGTTCAAGCACAGAACCTGTGGGGGACTGAAACGGCATCGCTGTAGAACTGTGGACAATAGTGCAATTTCAAAACTCTTCTTGAAACCTTGTTTTGATATCAACAGAGAGAAACTGCACTTAGATAATGACAGAACCAAGTCTATATGGGGTTTAAATGACAAAGTCTGTGGCTGAAAGACTTTTTCGATTGCCACAATCAGATGGACGACAAAGGACATTTGATGGAAAAATGGACATGAAAATGGACATTACTCTTTTGTGTCATTGAAGATTCTGTTTTATTTTAATCAGATAATCTTAGAAACAATCATCTGCAACAACGAGTGATGTTGACTAAAATGAGCAGTGAGGGGCTCAGTGTTGGGAAGATAAGGCTGTGTAGATCTACCGTACCAAGGCCTGATATCATCTATTAGCTCCGTAAAACAGCAATGGTCTCTCATTAACCGTATTTAATTATATTTAACTCATTGCAAACACTGGAATTACACAGATGTGATAAGAGAACAAAAACATAAATTGTTGCATTTCAAAATCTCATCACAGGTGTGAAGAAAAAGGTGCTATCTGAATACGAGGTGATAGCGTTGCACCTGTGACTTGACGTCGCGCTATGTTTCTTATTTATTTATCTCTGCCATTTTCTTTGGATTAACTTTTTTTATACAACATACTACAAACAAGATGTGGTTCATGATGGCTGGGTGGTTCAAACAGAAATTTAAGACAGTAAGATTAAAAAAAGATCAAACCTCCCAGGATCATGCAGTGTTTAACTTCTATGTGTATAAAAAGTGTTTGTTTTGTATGACTAAGAGTGTGGTGTTGTGTGTGTAAGGGCTTGGGCCCACACCTACACCGCTGTCATGTATCTCGATATTCATGTAGAAGAACTAATCAGTTTGTCTCTTTCTCTTTCTCTCTTTGATAAAGACATGTCTCTCTTCCACTGAAACAATCATATTCCTTTAAACTCTGGGAGGAGGGAAAAGAAACCCTTACCTACACATGTTTCTTTACGTGCCCCCACTGTTTTATTAATCTACAACACATTGTTTTTGACATTTCAACTACAGGAAATGAGAAGGGTCAAAACAAGGAAATCAAGAGTCACTTAAAAGGACAGCAAAAAGCTAAACATTGCAAATTTAGACACTGTTTTTGTGTCCTTTATATTTCCATTAGTAACAAAATGTGGAAACATGCTGTTGATGCTATTTGTGTACAATAACCCATAATCGGCCAAACATCTTAAGTTATTGAAAACATGACCCACACATTCTTTATGCCAACTTACAACTGTTACTGTTTTTGTCTGTTTTATTATGACAAAAAAAACAAAATGTTTGCAATAATTAATGCTATTTTCATATGGGTATAAGAAGCTGATGTGCTTAAATCTACTTTGTTTTGTGTTTTTATTCCATTTTCACCAGTTTCTCTTCTATATCCACGAATTAGCTTCCAAATGTTTTGTCATGAAATGTATAACATGCTATTCAGAGGAACTCACTGGGCCATGAATATCAACACGTGATGAGCAACAGACAAATTAGAACGAAGCTCATTCAGTTATTTTAAGAGTCCATAGTCATGCTAGCTGCTCTGCGAGGTTGTACTTATGCACAGCGATGCTTCGAGCTAAATGCTAACGTCAGCATGCTAACATGCTGATGGCGGATGGGAATGCCATTCGTTTTGCTGGTATTTTGTCATAAACAAAAGATTTTGACAAATTAAAATGTTGACCTTATGATCGTACTAGAGGAAGTGAAGGTATCACCAAAGTGATTGAAATTCATCCCTTTGTGGCACATTCATGGAAACCAATCTAATAGTTGTCAAGGCATTGCAAAGTCATTATTGTCCAAAAATGACACGCTCATTGTGTCTCTAGAGCTAAAGTCAGGGGATCACCAACGTCGGTAGGATTCTCCCTCTAAACGCTATGGATGTCTGCATCAAATTTGATAGCAATCAATCCAATTACTTTGGTATTTTAGTCTGAACCAAAGCAGAAAACTCTAAACTTTTGAAGGAAGGGTAAAACCTTTTTATGACACCATGAACTCTCTGACTTTCCTACCACCTCGTGAACACAGGTGGATTTATTTAGTAAGCCTGTTGTGTTGTGTCTACACAGTGCATCTGCAGCCTCCAGAGACATTATTGGCTCCCTAAATTCAGAGTTCAGCACTGGCTTGTATTGAGCGTTAGTCCTAGTGATGTGCAATGAGGTTTGTTCAATCTGACAAAAGAGAGAGAGGGAGAAAAGAAAGAGTGGAGGTTGATGTACTGTAGGTGAACTCTGGCACACGCTCTCTTTGTGGTTTTTCACATTTACCCACATGACTCTTGGCTGCAAAAACTCCCTAACTCAGCAGCCAGCTGCACAGTTTGTCTGCTAATTATCTAGTCAAGAATCTGCTCCACCGTCTAAATGAAATCATACGAGGAATGGCTTTCACAATAAATGTCCTCAGATTTAAACCATCTTTAGAGTTAAGTGGACTTACTTACATGTATGTAATTACGGTCTTCACACATTTAGTACTTAAAGAGCTGCGTCCTTGGTCTTCACTTTATATTATGTGCATTAATCACTGGGTTTGATGTGTGTACCAAATGACAATTTTGAAGACAGCTGTTAGCATCTGTCTCACCCTTAACCCCCCTTGTACGCAAATTCAGTGTGTATTCTGGTATTCATGTATTGCTTCCCATTACCCCACTGTCAACCTCACACAGACGTACTACCTCTAAACAGCAGACTATCTCCAAATTCTGCATGGAGGTGGGATGCCTGTGTTTCCGCGGGTGTCCCAGCAGCTCCCCACCCCCCGCGGACTTCAAACAAGAGCGGGAAAGAGAAGTGCGTGGAGGCTTGTTGGCTTTGACAAACACACACAGGGGTCGACCACCATGACAGAGTGGGAGGTTATCTGAGGGACCAGAGACCGTGACTAAAGACACGAGATGGTTCATAGCTCACTGATTGACCTTAAAGGACGATATGGCTTGTTGGGTCTAAACAACACCGTTACCTAACCAGCAAACAACCACTGGAACAATATAGTGACCCATCAAGCCCAGTACCTTACAAACAATTTATGGAAGACCAACCAGCTTACAAACCATGACCCGACCATTATCATTAGTTAGTTCCAATCAAAGCCGGTTGCTTATGTTATCTGTGTTGGGATTTATTGGTGGAGCACAGCTTGTGGTTTAACTCACGTCGTGGGGACATAAGTCTCACAGTCACATTGTGGGGACTCGTCCCAATGTCAGGAAAAACGGTGTGTCCCTAAAGAGTTGGTGTTAAAGTTTGGTTTAGGTTAGAATAAGGGTTGCATGAAGCGTAAAGTGGGGTATGGTTAAAGTCAGGGTACGTTTCTAGAGAATGAATGAATACAAGGTCCTCCTATGTAATAGAAACAAGTGTGTGTGTGTGTGTGTGTGTGTGTGTGTGTGTGTGTGTGTGTGTGTGTGTGTGTGTGTGTGTGTGAAATCATGCATTGAAACATGTGGTGGGCCTCTGGGAGTGTGCATCCATTCAGAGCAGGAGCAGCTTCAATTGTTATTTAACTAAAAGCCTGTTTAGGTTCTATCCTTGTTCTTTTCTCCTATCTCGTTGATCGGAGGGCGGGGGACTCCCTTCATTTTTTAAAATGTCAAACTGCACATTTTCAAACATCAATGAGAAATCATCGTTGTTATTTCTATAAACCTCTGTTTCAGAGTTTCTCCATCAAAAAAAGAGCTGTTTAGTCAGAGTTAGTAGTGAAAAGGTCATTAATCATAATTCTTTTAAACCTCCATGCTGTGAATGGTGGTAGTTTGTACTTGTGTTACAGAGCATGCAACTTTATATTATAAGACTGCTTATTTCACACTGATTTCAGACAGAGAGCAGAAAAAAGGGGAAATGTATTTTAACATCAACAACAACAACATAGTATAGTGCCCTGACAGACTTCCTTTAAAGACATTACTGTCTGTGTTTTGGTATGACCTGGATTCCCTGATGTACAGTAGTTAGGAAACAGGAGGCCTCTGAACAGGAGGTCACACAAGCATCCGTGTGGAGCCACGCACTCCCTACACCTTCCAGCACTTTGATTTTCCTGCTTTTATATACGACAAAGGAAAGGGACATCTTGTACACAGATGAGCACACAACTACCCCGTCATCAAGCACATACACACCTACTCTGGTCTTTCCATTAACACACACCGTTGTTCTCTGATTCAGATCAATATGAATCCTTCACTTGTTCACTCACCCTTTCCTTAACAGGGAACAATAGCGGACCGACGGAGACTGTGAGGAATGTGACTTTTTTGGGGGCTGAGCATCTGAAAAAGCCCGGAATGCTGGGAAAACACATCAAATCGGTCAAGGCCAAACAAAGGAGCGGGTGAGCGCCTTCGCGGGCATCATGACTCAGTCTGCGAGTGTCAAACTGCTCCTCATCTTCATCGGACAGGAAGTTGTACCTAGCGATGGGCTGAAAACACAGGAAGTCGATATCAGCATGCCTGGAATTCCAGCATTGTGTTTTCTCTACAGAGACGAGAAAGACTTGCGCATCGCTTTATGCACATGATATAAATGTGTTACAGCACTGCAACCTCATACGTGCATGTACACCACACACACTTGCTCCCATAAACTGACAGACCCTGAATACTCTGCACAGCCCTGTCAGGCTAGACAGATGTGCAGTTAAACAGAGCAATAAATTAGATTACAATGTGTGTGCATGTTAGAGAAAGAAAGGGCCTATACACAGTTCTGCAAAGGCCTTTAATCTAGACCTCAGCTGCCAAATTATGTCCAGGCCACATGTGCACTGGCATTTTAGCTTTTTCTATGCGTTGTGGCCTGTAGTCCACACCCAAATGCTGTTTTATGTCACTGAAAACTGAGCTTTTGTTAAACTCTGGCCAGGGTGAAGTTATTCAGAAACTACGATACTAGACAGGGAAAACAGAATTTTTGGCATTGGAGATGTTTGAGAACAAAGGAGAAAAAATATGCTGTTAACAAAAACACCCGTGTACGTGTGGACGAGGCCTTATGGCCACTGTAGCCTACGTTTATGTCTAACCTGAAAATGTTGCACCTGTTCATATACAGGTGCTGGTCATATAATTAGAATATCATCAAAAAGTTGATTTATTTCACTAATTCCATTCAAAAAGTGAAACTTGTCTATTATATTCATTCATTACACACAGACTGATATATTTCAAATGTTTATTTCTTTTACTTTTGATGATTATAACTGACAACTAAGGAAAATCCCAAATTCAGTATCTCAGAAAATTAGAATATTGTGAAAAGGTTCAATATTGAAGACACCTGGTGTCTTCAATATAACACTCTGAGAGACCATTTAAAGGCCTTTGCAGGTGTTTTGAGTTAATTAGCTGATTAGTCTAGTTCTGTAGGCTACACAAGTGGGTTCACAAGTGGGTTCACAGTGAATGTGATTGGAGACAAGGAGAGAATAGTTTGTCTGAAAACTCTGGCAGCTGACAGTTTGAGTCCCAACAAATGAGAAGACTCTTAGAAACATTACAGCTCAGTCACGTTGTAGCACTCCCTCATTCTTTGGCGCTTGTTGTCATTTCCCTTTTCCCCCAATTCATTTTAGCTGAATGTCACAATTCCCCTGAGTTGATTGGAGGGTTATTCAGATCACCTGTTGAGAGCGTGATTACCGGCTCCTAATTAAGTATTGAGAGCAGCTTGGTGCGTTTCAGCTCTTGACCAATCAGAGTGTGAGGACATTCTGTCTTTAGGGCTTAAATGAGGTGGAGAACTGAGCCCTCAGGGCATTCTGGTCCTTCCTCGACTTAATGTGACCTTATTTTAGCAGATTCAGCCAGAAACTCTGGTCTTTAGGCCCATTTGAAGTTTTTCTGCTGTCTTTTCTTTTTTTCTGGTTGAGTTTTTTTTTTTAAGATTATGAAACCTAATGACTTTCTGCTTGGTTACTTGAATCTGGGCAGATCTTATAGTGCTAATCATGCAGGAGTTTGTACTTGCTTAACGATAACGCCTGGAGGCTTATTTTTGTGAACATTTTCATTGAAATCCCTTTTCATGCACATTTCTTTTTCAAAGAGACATTTTATTATAATAGAAGAGGGATTGATATTTTAAAAGATGAGGATGACAGACACAGTTTGAAAACCACTGATCACAATACACTTCAAGTTCTCTCTGAAACAGTTTCAACAAAAACTGAACATTACAGCCTTTGTGGCGGCAGGATTTATTGCAGGACAGTTCCATCAGACTGCATCAGTTTTAGCTTGTTTTACATTATAAACTGGCAACTAAGAGGCCAACGCAGTTTGCCAGCCAGCCTGAAAACTTTAAACACCTTGTTTATGTCTGGGTGTTTGTGGTGAGAAGGCTTTCTTAAATAGTTTAAGTTATGAGCACAATAGAAAAGTGCAGCAGACATTGCTAACTTACATTATTTTATCAGCAGTTATAGAGCCTGTACTGTAAGTGACATACCTGAAGAAGATGGCAAGTCTCATGTATTGACACTGAACATTTTCTATGTACATTGTCATTTAATTTAATGTCTCTGTAGGCCCCAGTCGACAACTAAAGACTTGCACACAGCGACATTGCTGGTGCCACACAACATGGCAGCACATCGGCGTCTATATAACATACTGTATATATACATTCAGCAACACATTGGCTACAGTATTGACAACAAGGTCCTAACTCACACACCTTTGTGCAAACGTGCATACATGACCGCAGCGAACATGGCTGTCAGCGAACTTTCACACTTTTCCCATGAAATGCAGTTGACATAATTCTGCGTCTTCCATCTCAGCTGTGAGAGAGAGAGACGGGGAATTCAGGGAAGGAATAAAAATGGGCTACATTTCAACACAGCTCTTAAGAATCTGTGTGTTAGACATGTCCATACATTCTGTGAGTAACATATTTACATGTCTGGGAAAAATATACAAGGAAGGAAGTGATTATTATGATGAATCTCTCTGACCAGGAAATGAAACCGTCTGAACTTCACAAAGGTATTTATTTTAAGGGGGGGGGCGGTTGTATTGTACTATATCAGAGTGTAAGGTGCTTCTGTTATTTCATTCTGACCTGGAATGTGTGAGGAAGTTTCCAAAAAAAAAAGACTTACTGAAGTCCATCCCATAGACTCAAAAGGCTCAGCTCACTACTGCCCTCCATTGGTCAGCCATCCAGCCTGATGTTTGGTCAGATATAACCATCAAAATGGTTCATTTCTAACGTATAAAATCAAATTCAGCAAATGCATTTGTTCACATGGAAGCATATGTAGCTTAAAATAAAGTGGAAAGCTGATAAAAAAACAAGAAATCACAGATTGATTACTTGTTATATCTGATGAGAAAGCCTCATATGTCCTGCTTCAGTTCACTTTGCTGCTCTCATGAAAGCAGCGGGGAGGTGGCAGTACCCTGAGGCCAGTGCGGTGCCCCCCTGAGGCCAGGGGGTGAAGGGTTCTGAGGTGTAGGCTGGAGGCTGATGGCTGCTAGCGTCCTCGTTGGGGCCCGGCTGCACGTCCGTTTCGTCTGGACACTGTTGGTCCTGCGCTGCGCTGTCGAGCCTGTGTGTGTTCGCGTCGGCGCCGCTGTGAGATACAAGATCTTGTGTGGACCTGGAGACGCTGCGGCCGGGCAGACGCACATAACCTTCCCCGTAAAGGGCGAAATTCACCGGCGAAGGAGATGGAGAGTCGTCTGATGGGGTTTCTTGGTCCTTCTCTTTCTCTTCACACTTAACATCCGCTGACTTGCAGCTTGCCACTGACGACTATCAGATAGAAACAATGCTGTTCAGTGGGACACTTAATGTCGGCAAAGTTTACAAATTAATAACATTTCTTTGATAACCTTTAAACATTTGCTAATCTATACAGTCCGTGCAAGTGGTGATCTTTTGGTTCTCACTACATTTCCTCAGTACTCAAGTCATAATATAACATTTTATGTGACATAATTTTAATTAAAAGAAAAGTTTATCATTTTCACTTTGTTACCGAGAGTTAGATGAGAGGATTGATACCACATCCAGCAGCCGGTTAGCTTAGCTTAGCATAAAGACTTAAAACAGGGAGTTTTGTTTGTGCAATGTGTAAAGTTTTATGAGGGTTATGTGACGCACTACTTCTTGTCCTGGAACATAGACTTCCAACTGCAATAAATAGTACATAACCCACCGTAAAACAACAACATTTTTACGTGTTTACTATTTATTTATTTAGCGTGATAATTTCTTAATTTGGTAATATCGGTAAATCAGAAGAAGGAATCAGCTACCTCACAGATAAGGGCTTAATGCCGACACACTTAATAAGTATCAAAACTCTGATGCAATTTTAGGAATACGTTATTGGACAGTATTTCAGCAGTTATTGCATAGTTGATTTAGAAATTCTCAGCACCTGGATACCTGGCAAAAGACACTGGTTGTGAGTAACTAACCTGACAGAAGATGTAGGGACCGCTGAAGCTCATGGAGGATGTGTCACAGTGTTTATCCTTCTCAGCAGGGGGGGACAGTTTATCACACTTCCAGCAGCCCTCGTCCTGCTCCAGACGCACCAGACGCTTTTGTTCCGTGTCCTTGGTTGGCCACAGCAAAGCGTCTGCGGAGGAGCTGCAGGGAGAGAGAGAGCAGACAAATTAATTCATCCTTTCATGCCCTTCCTGAATTATTACAGCTGTATTTCACACATCTTTTCTTCCATGATAGCAACATTTGTTGTTATTATTATCTGTCTCGAGTGTGAAGTGTGTTACCATGTCGACACGCTGTCCAAACGCATCACTTTGCAGATGGTCATGCTCTCACTCTGCATAAGGGTCCAATTGGTGGAAGACTGGATCACAAAACATCATGTTTTACACATGACAACATTCCTTGATGCACCAGAAATGGAGATAATTATAACAAACTGTAGAATTATCAGGTCTCACCTTGATCTCGGACAGGATTTTGCTTTTGCCTGGAGAAGGGACTGAGTCCACCCACAGAATTGCCCTTCTGTTTGTTCAAAATATACCACGTAAAAAGAGTTTTATTAAAAACGACACGTCCTGTCATTTATGAAACTTTATCTGGTATGTAGTAACGCCTGTGTGCTCTAATGTTTTACAAGGCAATATATTTCCATAATGAAAACATCTGTAGGTTCAAAGTAATGTGAGGTATTGCTTGTATTAAAGTGCATAAAGTACCTTTGACAAGCTGGAATGGTGCAGTAGAGTGTGAGGAAGACAGCGGCCACAAACACACCGATGGTGAAATAGATCAGCATTGTTGGGGACCAGATGGCTGTCAGGGGACAGAAAACAGAATTAATGATGATACTGATAATAATCTCTTATGGTATGTATTATGATGGTTTTTTTTTTTGGCCCCATGTTGTTTACCTTTGAATAAACCGGACATGAATAAAACACAAATATAATGTAAGTCCCGCAGGAAATAGGTGAAATCTGTTTCTTTATGTTTGAGATGTGCAATATTTTGCTACTGCCTGTGTTGCTATTGTAAAGTACCCTCTTGCGAGGTCCAGTCCTTAGGATCGGTCCATTCAGAGGGGATTCCTTCATAGTGCTTGGGGACGACCAGCGACCTGACCTTGACTTGGTAGTCCTGGGACGGGGCTAGAGAGGCTCCCAGGATGCTCAGGGATGTGGACCCCTCTGAAATGTTCTGCAGGACACACGATCCCTGAAAAAAAATATGTATGGAGTAAATGAACCCTTCATTAGCATGAAGGGATTGTAATACAGGGAAAAACACTCACCTGATCCTGCTTCCTGTAATAGCACACCTGATAATACAGTCTGGGTTTTGAAGCTGTGCTTGGATTTATCCATTCCACCATCCAGTTGGTGTCTTTCTGCCTCACCTTCACCTGCCGCGGTGGGCTGGGACGAACTGCGCAACAAGAAAGTTTTGTAGCATACAGTCTTGATGGAAAAGATTTGTTTTTGTTTTGAAACAATCAAATCATGTGTAGGACATTTTAGAGAGGGTTCAGTATTCAGCAGTAAGTCATGGTGAGTCCTAAATGGTGAGGCACCAGACTGCTGTGTTTGAGCACAACATAGACAAGCATAAATAAAATGTCTCTTTTAGATCAAGATCCTGTCGGTGTGTGGGGAACAGCATACCAGATGATTCTCCGAATCTATTAGAGTTTTTGAACAGGCGTAAAAAACCTTTTTTTTTTATTTTTATAATTTCCTGGTAAGAGTCTTTTTGTTTGTTTTGGGGTGAATATTTATCTGCAAGTTGTTTTATGACTTAATAAAACCAAAACAATCTGATCATATCTTATTGTCTTGTGATAAGCAGACATGGATGCAGTGGTGCCAATCAAACACTAGGTGGGGTCCCTCAATCACAGCTCTACTCAGCGCTGTGTATCTGTCTGCACAGCTCCCTGCAGTGTTACTGTGTGTGTCTTCAATTTAGCGGGACACGTGATGTCAACTCCCTCCACCTCTCGATCTCTCTTAGAACGTATAACGCGTCCGTCTCCTGTCCACTCACTGTGTTTGTCGACCTCAAAGCTCTTGGCTGTGCGTGCTGGAATGAGCTCCACGAGCAGATGTGCGGGGTCTGCGACAGTCAGTGGGCAGCTGTACCTCAGCACAGCCCTGCCGAGGTCAGAGCTGACCGTTGGGTTCACACAGCATCTCTTGGACCTGAAGGCAGGGAGTGAAAGGAGGGGAATGAATGCATGATAACGGGATGCATTTTCTTTCAGCCTCAACCTTGTGGTATTGTCCACTTACGGCGCAGTCTGGTTGTGTCGACATTCCAGCTGGTAGGTGATGAAGTGATCCACCTCTCTGCTCACCTCCCAGCTACACATCACTGCCTTCTCTCCATCCAGCACGCAATGCAAACTGGGAAACTGCCCAGTGTCTAGAGCCAGAAAGAGAGAGAGCAAATAACAACAGCTGCAAAGCATCTGAGTACTCCCATGAAAAGTGGTCAGAGGGAGAAGATTAGAAATGTGAAGAAAGGAGATAAGGAGCAGGGTCTGCATCAGAGGAAAAGACCCGTCTGGAGTAAAATGATCCGGTACATTAAAAATCCGAGCCAAATGGTTTCACTCAGAAATGTCAGAGACGAAACTAATTTGTACACATACAGAGAAGTATGCGCAGTTGATGGGTTGCTTTTAGGTTTTGACTCGCCTTCAGTGCGCCAGGTCACCACAGGACTCCAGTCGCTCCACTGACCCACGCTGACCCGGGCCCTCACCCTGGCCTCATACCTGCAGCCCGGGAGCAACAGTCGCTCCTCTAGTTTCACACTGGTGTTTGTGACGTCCTCAGTCTGTAGAGAATGGAAAGAGACACGTGAGAGTTACAGGAACTGCTGTGCATTTATTTTGGCATTGTGAAGATTTTCTTGCAAAACCTATGTGCTACACGGAAAAAAACACTCAAGTATACACAATTACTCTTAATTAATATTATAATGGCCAAACTCCATATCAATGAATGTACATTCACAGGAAAGAAGAAAAACATTGCTTATTGCCTTTAGCAATGAGTTTAAACAACACATTCTTTCAATTCAACACTCTCCCAACCAAAAAGCAATCAAAACCGTCAGTGCTTATACTGTGTTAAGAATGATTATTTATAGATATTTAACACCAGCCCCATACCCAAAAGTAAAACTGAAACTGAAACGTAAGCATTTTTTTTCTTCTTCTCTTTATTATCTGTTCCCTTTTGTACATCTAACTAATAAGTTGTCGTTAGACAGAGAAATCAAGGCCCGTCTCTTGAAGTGGATTTGTTGGTAAAAACCCTTGAAAATGTAAGATGTCTTTATTATCAGAAGGACACAAAAATTAGGTTAGTTTACAGAATATTCAATTTCATCATTTTAAAAATATTTGGAACAGTGCTTTCTTTTTTTGTTTCTGCTTCTGTGTGTGTCGATAATATATAATTAAGATCACTTCACATATTAGCATTATCAGCGAGCTAAAAGTCAACAATGCCTTTTGTGTTTAGCCAAACAGTTTAGTTAGCAAAACTAAGCTGGTGAATGTGGTAATTATTACACACGCTGAACATTAGCATGTTACCGCTGTCATTCTGAGTGTGTTAGCATGCTGCTTGCATCACTACAGAGTAGGCCTTTGCAGTGGATGCTATTTTACAGTTTTATGTCAGAGGAGATCTCCAATATGATTTACAGACAACAGCTTTTGTTATTTCTACTAAATGCAAAGCAGGAAGCTGTTTTAAATGTCAGTTATTACAGTATGTTGGAGACTGCAATTGTACAAGAGTCCATTAATGCTCCATTTTGACATTTCACTCTATTTCCTGACCTTTTTTAAATACCCACGCCATGATTTCAAAAACGTTTGTCACTTCAGTAATGTGTCTCGTAGTCAAAGGCTGGCAGCAGAGTAAGACATATGCTAACCGTCCAGTTGTCCTGTCTGTCTGTCCTGTAGCTGAGCTGATAGGTGATGTGCTTGTTCAGGGAGGAGGAGGAGGGGTAAGGGCTGGACCAACTGAGCCGTCTGCCTCCATCGCCTGCACCCCGTGTGGACAGATTCACCGGTGGGCGGGCTCTCACTGTACAACACAGACACACATAACAGTTCAAGTGAAGCGCTGTCAATATTTCCTTATGAAACTGTAATCATTGCTCTCTGTTATTATCCTCACAGTAAAAGTGACCGCTATGACAGACGGGTAAACTCACAGTACTCGGACAGATCCAGGAGCTTGTGTGGGACAGATGAGCAGAAGGTCAGCGTTTTGTTCTTGAGGAAGAAGACGGTGTGTACGATGCCAATGGAAAATACACGGGTTTCATATCTACACTGGACAGTCCTGGGCTCGCTTGCATCCTGTACTTCAGCACTGTAAGGCGTGCACTGCTTCCTGCGAGGACACGGACACAGAGCTGTGGGACGGAAGACGTTGGTGCCGAAATGACAATGTTCCCCATAATCCCATATCTTCAACAAAGGCTGTTCCCCCTGCTCTTGTTCTTACCTGTTCTTTCCTTCCTTGAACCAGAGCTGCAGTGTTTCGTTTGCGCGTTCCCTCCACTTGCAGTGGACATGAGACTTGTAGTCGTTGTGGCACTGTAAGGATTTCAGCAACGGAGACGCTGGTATAGGGAGAGAGACGAGTTTTTGGCTTTGTGTAGAATAGATATTGTAACAAAAAGTATTGAGATTCTTGAGTTTATATATCGATGTAAAAATACTCCGTTAGAATAAAAATAAATCTGTTATTCAACCTCTTTCTCAAGTCAAAATATAGAAGTATTGTAAGTACATATACATCTTTGTAGGATTAATGTGTCGTAATGAGTGGACAGCCTTTTATTGGTGCAGGTAACTGCTTTAGTTTTGGGCAATTAAATCGTCAAAAAACTTCAATATTATAAAGGTATTTCTGTCCTAATAATCTTTGTGCAGTAAAAATACTTAAACCTGTTTTTAATTTAAATCAACATCTAATGATGTTCTATAAATGAGCTTCGGTATCTTAAAACATTGGAGAAGAAGTAGCGGAACATAGAAATACCCAAGTACAAGTACTTACTCAAGTATATCTTTTTGAGATCCAATTTTTATTGAGATTTAGGACATGCATTGAAACTATTAATTAGTAGTCAACTATAGTTCTAGAGTAAATGTACATAGTTCCATTCAAAAAATTACTAAAAAATCCTGATGGTGCCAGGAGAATACTGTGGAGACTTACTTTTCTGCAACTCGCTGCCCTCGTGGACGATACAACAGTCTGGACCACAGGAGAAAGCCAGAGGAGGGAGCATGGACCAAAGCACAACCCAAAAAAGAGGCATCATTCCTGTGGACAGACAGGGCGGGGGGCCCCTTGTTTTTCCGACTCTGCCTCGGGAAACGTTCCTGTGTGTATTCACAACATCCAGAAGTCTGTCGATGAGATGAGAAGTTGGGTGTATACAGATAGAGCGAGGGGAGAGGGAGTGAGAAAATTAGTGCATTTACTCGAAATAATGAAGAAATGAGTCATGACCACACTACCAGCACTCACTTCTGCTTTTGCTTTAGTTTGCTTGTTGTGGGATGTTACCACGCATCCGCCTGCTTCTTATCTCTCTCTCTCACATGTGATAGACCAAACACACAGTCACTGGGGTCCAAACACATCAATAAATAGATAGAACTGATTACCGGTGACACGGATGAGCATTTTTACCAGACTGCTTTAATATACTGTATGTTAACATATACAGCCTGGCACACTGTGGAGAAAATGCTTACAACGTTCAAACTGCAGCGTCTAACGCAGTTAATGGAAATCTCACCAGTCTTACTGCTGGTACAGTACTATGAAAACATTCTCTTAGTTTTACCCAAATTTCATGGACTACATAATATTGGAATTAGGTATTTTGTCCAATATATTCTTTTTAAAATCGAATTATTCACCAGCATGAAGCAAGTGGTTATGTCTTATTCATATTATCTGCACCCAAAGGCACCTTTACTTACATGTAGTTTCTGAACTGAAATCCATCCTGCACCCTAAAATTCAGCAAAAAAAGAACAAGATTCTTTATCGGCTTCTGATAATCATAATACAATGACAAATAATACAATCTCCACAATTCTGAATGTTCATTTCGATGTCAGGAACTGAATATTAAGATAATTAAATTAAATTCTATAGCTTTCTAATAAAAACATTCCCTCACAATGATTTTGATATTATATATTTATTGTATTCTATTGTAGATCCTAGGGACACAAATAATAAGACATATTTAAATTCAACCTGTGCAAAATCTTGGTGTATTTAGAACCTTTTTTAAAGATATAATACCATCAAATAAAGCGATAAATAAGCAATTCAAGAAAAAGAACGTGAACGTATAACGAGATTAAAGAAAAAGAAGAGATAATCTCAGCGCTCTAGAATAATGATAAACCTAAAGGGGGGGATTTAAGGGTCACTCAGGCTTAACAGACTCCACTTCTGCCTTTCTGCAGTAGCTGCTGTTTACGGTAGCAGGTTTGGGGGGAAAGCCCCTTCAGGAGAAGGTGGGAAACCAACACTGACTTTGAAACCAAATAATGTAGTGCAACAGGTCGCACAACGGCAGGTCTGACACGAGAACAACCATCAGACTCCTGAGATCAAAGGCAACCCCAAAAACAAGCAGATGGAAAACAAATAGCAGCATGCATAAAGCATCTGAGAAGATATGAAGAAATCACGTTGATGTATAATGATGTAAACTGATTTTGCTCTTTGCACACTTAATACCATTTCTTCCCGCGTCACTCTGTTACAACATTATCGTCTGATTAGGAAAATTCACTGTAAGTAAGTCATATCTGAGTCACAGGATGTCAACATGTAGGATTTCATGTCGTCACCCAACACATCAGTTCTAATGCAGGACCAGTTGCCGTTGACTTCCTCCTTTCAGATATACTAACATGATGGAAAATGAGTTCTGAGCATACATGAATATCACGACACATGAGCTCTTTGATACGTCAGGGCCGTCACAATATCAGATTTTCACTGAGAATTCACGAAAGCAATATTACTGCGATATCTACTGAAAAATAGTAACGCTTTCTTTAACTTTGTTAATTGTGATGTGAAAAACGAGATATATATTGTGCGCTGGATTATTTACCTCCATATTGTTATATTTGTATGAATATTTAATTTTAAAATATCACAGTTCTATTGAGACATCAGGTGATCTTTACAGCATTCAGACAATTTCAAGCTGTGAAATGACACATTGGCTCAAAGTACAACAACCTCCACTAAAAGTCCTCTTGTATGTCCGGTTAATCTTCCAGTCACATACCTCTCATAATGAAGACTTTCAACATTTCTCTCGGTCCGTCTGTCACCGCCGCTTCCTTCTTGTCAGCCGGCTCCTCATCAACACTGTCGAAAACTCTGTGGGAGTTTCCTATGTGACGACTTCAGTTTCCCCTTTCTGTCCACTCAGACACTTAATGTCAAGTTCACTGTAATGCCGCTTCATTTTGTTGCTGTATTCTGGAGATACAGCTAAAGACATATGTTGGAAACCTATAAAACACAGTGTGTTGCCGGCACTGTTTGGCACAGAAGGTGGAAAAAACATCAATTACAAGTACTAAAAAGTTGTAATAGTGGTTAATTGTTGTGGCCTGCTGAACCAGGAAACCTGCTACAGCATGTTCTAACGGACTCAGGCCATTAACGTGCACGTTTTCTTTCCTGTTGAAATGCAATAAAGCAAAAACAATTTATCTCTCTGGTGTCACAAAGGATTTTGGTTTCATAATACACCTACTGAAGGTTTGTTATCTAAATACAAGTATCAGTGGTTAATCGACCGCATGCTTGAGATAATGTTGCACATTTCCTTAATGTATCTCGGCCACATGCAGCTGTCATGCTCAGGATTTTTGTTTATATTTTGAAACATTGTAATTTGATGAGTTATATATCATTGTTTATAGCTACTGCATCACTTAAACAGCGAATTTTCACTTTCCTACCAGTGACTTTAAACGTCCCACAGACCTGCCCTGACCTTACTGCTGTCAGTCAAAAGGTGGGTGAAGTGAAGAAAGTGTGATCATTTGCTGCGAGGGCGTGTGATGCACCCACTTCTTCTGAGGGGGCACAGTTTCACAACTCTGTGCCAGTAAAATGTGCAATTGTGCCTCAATTCAGAATTGACTTGCAATCGAAGCACAAGTGGTTAGATTAGATTAGATTAAATTAGATCGACACAAGAGTAAAATCATTTAGTTAACAAGATAAAACATCTATTAATGATCTGCATGATGGAGATACAAGTTAGATGTTTTTAAAATAATTTTCTGTTCTCAATGAATTGAGCATATTTGGAAAGTATAAGTACATGTACAACTGTACTCTGTAGAACTGCACTTAAGTATGATTGTGAGGTAGCTGTACTTTGTTATCTACTGAAGTACATTTCAGCAGGAAATACTGTACTTTTTTTTTACACCATTCAGTATTTGACAATTATTATTTTGCAGATTTTACACACAGAACATATGATCAGCTTCTAAAATAAGAGTTATATTAATAAACAGGATATAAAGTAGATAAAGTTAGCTCCACCTCGAGCAGCTACAGCATCAAATTGGCACTTGCATGTTTAAGCAGCAATAATAATATTATGTATAATATTGTAACACTCTAAAAAGCCATATTCTACATGAAAAGTACTTTTGATAATTTCAGTATATTTTGCTGATAGTATTTTGAACAATAAAGTACATTTACACAGTTCTATTGCTATTTTTACTGTGAGTAAAGAATCTGAATTCTTCCACCGCTGCATACAGAGAGGGAGAAGCAAAGACTTTTTCAAACAGATTGAGATTTGATTTACATATTGAATAATGTATTAACTCCATTCATGATAAGTCCTAAAAATAATCTCTGCGAACAAGTTTGTCCCATTGAAGACTTGTTCCTTAACATATTAAATCACTCAAGTAATATTACAGCAGCAGTTAAATGTTAAGGTTGTTGTTTAAAAAATACGAGTTAGAATTCAATACAGCTGATGAGACGTTTTATGTAATTGTAGGTTAACTATCATTTTTCAATGAGCGCTCTCTCAATGTTTTTCTGCTCTGATACTGAGTCATTTGGGTTGGACGCTTTCTAGTCCACACAAGTCATATTGAGTCAGAACATTCAATTCAATTCAATTCAACAGCCTAAAATCACAAATTACAAATTTGCCTCAGAGGGCTTTACAATATGTACACATTTGACATCCTCTTGTCCCAGGACCCTCACATCGGAACAGGAAAAACTCCCCCAAAAAAACCCTTTAACAGGGAGAAAAGAGGAAGAAACGTTAGGGAGAGCAACAGAGGAGGGATCCCTCTCCCAGGACGGACAGAAGTGCAATAGATATCATGTGTAGAACAGGATAGTGAATTACAACACATTCAATGTAATTACAGCACATTCAATGTATGACAGAACCACGGCAGGAGGCAAGACCTGGTCCAGGTATAACCCGGATACACAGGAACCTGTGAGGCGAGAAAGCACAGAGACTCTGGTGAAGAAGCAGGTCAATAATGTGCATTAATGGTATCGGAAATATGAAATAGTAATGTGAGTAATAACAAAAGTGATATTAGCAGTTGGAGTTAGCAGGGCCATGGTAGGAGGGAGGACATCTCAACCACAAGCCCATGTTGGTCACACAATCACCAAATCATTAAATACTTACCATTACACTTGTTCCGAATACGCACATTTATAACACACTCTACATCTTCACACCAAGAGAATAAATTAAATAAAAAATGTTCTCTCTTTTCACCTGTGTCGACCAGTTTAGAATAAAAAAGAAAAAGACTCATACACTGTAAACCTGAATTTATTTCAAATTAAACTTTTGAGTAGTCATTACTTATACTTGCGTGTTTTGTAAAACAACTGTGTCATTACAAAATCTATTTAGTAGTTTGCACTAATCAACTGAAATATTGAGTGCAATGATCATGTTTAGCAGAGATAACTTGGTAGGTTACGTTTCTGTAAGGGGGGGGGCCCGTTTGAATTTCACTCGATTAAGCATTAGTGCCGTGTGCAGTGGAGTTAATGTTACTGGAACTGGGTTGTTGAACTGAAAGTTGAGCTAATAGTTTTCTTCTTGTTTTCACAGGTTCTTGTGACGATGCAATGGAAGTGTACATATTGTGAGTTCATAAGTCGACTCGGGTCGCCCCCGGATCGCGCACCGTCAAACAGCGGACTCGCTGCGGACACCGGGGTATCCGCACATCAAACGCGCCTTTTCCCCCCGTTCAAATACTGTAGGCAGGTAACGGGGGGCATACCATACAATGGGGTGGGAGGTTCACCTTTCCTCCTGAACTCAGACAAACCTGAGAGAGCAACTGATCTACCTCGAGGCCAGCCTTTGTTTGGTAAGTTATCTTTCCTTTTTTAAACCTGTTTAAAAGCATGATTTTAAGAGTGAAACTGTAGAAAAAACATTCTGTAAAGTGTTAACAGTACTTTTTTGATCCATTTTAGATTTCATTACACAAAACGGGTTACATGGAACATCCTTGCTTGCATGTTCAACGATGATGTTGGGAAGAGAATGAACTGGAAAGGGATAAATGGGAAAAAGTCCTTCAGCCAGATGGAGTCGAAGACTTTTCTCCTGCGTAAGTAACTGTAATATTTAATGAAAACAATTTGAAGTCACCCAGAGGTCTTTGGTAGTGTTCAAACTTACAAATTCTCTTTGCAACTTCAACTTCATTCTCTGCTCAGGTAGATATTACTCGACTATATCTTTACATAATAGTTATATGATATATTAGCTCTGAATATAGCATAGCAAACCTTTACATGCCAGACAGTCACTAGCTTTTAGACTGCATGTCTGCTATATGTTGCACTGAGGGTTCATGGGATTTTGTATGATCTGCTTGTGATTACAGATGCCGT